CAAAAATTAACATGGATAAAAACAAAATAACCAATAGTAATAACTAACACACAGCTGAAGATTCTTCAAAAACAGCCATCGATACTGTAAGACCGTTAGCAACAACAATATTTTCAAACAAACATACCTTAACTGCGTAACAGTAGCTATACCTGACATCCGAGCTATCACAGTCACTAATGCTTTGGCAAGATGATTCATAGCGTTGAATGAAGTGTCCAAAGTAGTACTCAGTGACAATATAAAAAAATTTCAAAATAGTAAATAGCAAATTTAGTACAAATTTTAGGTTTCAACCAAAAAACCACTACACCTTACCATGCCAAATCTACTGGTACACTTGGATATGGTCATGTCATGCTTGCAAACTTTTCGAGAACAAAAACTACTACTAAACAGGATTGGAATACATTTTTACCTCTTACAGTTTATAAATATAACACATTACTGCATACAGCTACTAGACTCACACCATATGAATTAGCATACGGCAGAAAGGCACGTCTACCGAATCCATGTCCTACCGCAAATAGACCTTGTATTAATCATTTTATAGACTTAATCCGTTGTTTAAGAGACATGCATGAAATAGCTTATGATGGGCTTATAAAATGCAAGCTTAAAAGTAAATGAAACTATGACAAATATTCTAGTCCTTAGAATTCAGAAGTCGGTATGAAAGTTTACGCAACAAAAGTACGTTGAAAAAGAAAACTGGGTGAATATTATGGTAAAATAATGAAATCACCTACATAAATAAACATAATAACAATACAACACTTAAAGCAAAAACTTTTTTTCTCTCTCCTGCATTTTTACTGTACCTAACAAAAGTACAGTTTTTCTTTAAATTTGTTTAATTAACAGCTGAGTTTTGTCAATATAATACTCTTATATGGGGAGAATCATGTCAACTGTCCCAGCACCACGGTGGACGGCCCGCGTGGGCGTCAAACACGACGTTTTCAACTCGTCGTTTCGGTGTCAAAACTTTGATAAAAAAATTATCTAAAAACACATTCTTACGTATTTTTTCTTCAGCTTTCCAGTGATGCCATCAGTTTTTCGAAAATTTGCTCCCATAACCTCGAAAAATGCACTTGTTTGAAAAACACGTTTTATCTCCATGATCTTCAACTTTTGGAATTTTTTTGATAGTCTAGATCGAAAGATGAGACATTTTTACGTAGATATTGACAATAAAAAAAGAGGGGTTTTTCGTTTTTATAACGTATTTAAACGACGAACGAGACGATGCGAGCCGTGGCAGCCGGGCCACGCACGGCAGCAGCGCGTCCGCCGTGTCGTCTGCTACGTTGAGTCTGTTTGGCTATATAATATATATAATGTAGTAGTGCAAGCGATGTAAACAACAATTAGTTAACCATGGTTTACAATGGATAAATAATAAATGTTTTGATAAAATTTATTTATATATACATCAATTTTATGATAAAGAAATGAATAATGATTAATATTAATTAAATAATAGATATTTACATAAATAAAGCAAAAAATAAAAACAAATTTGTTTTACTTCGTTCTCTTTTTCTTTTTAGGCATGGTAATCGAAGTGACACTTGTTTTACGTTCTTTCAGTTTCGGAAAAATTTCATACTGGTTACTCAAAGAAGTTTTCTT